ATGGTGATGTGTCAAATATTCAGTTGATTGGGATGCAATTTGGATACTTTGTGATGATCTAATTAGATTTTGGTACAAACCGATGCATATTAATTAGGTGATGTGTATTCTAATTAACTTCTTTGAACATGTTTTGTTGATATCCAGTTAATACTTGTAGTTAATATTTTGTAATTGATCTGCATTTGTTAATTAGCTAATTTCCATACTACTTGTTACATGCTTTCTGTTTTTATGTCTAACACTAATTTGAAATAATCCACGTATGTTAATTAGCTAATGTGCATACTAATTAACTACTTTCACATTTTGAATGTTAATTCCCGCTTTTTCATACAGGCACAAACTAAAAAGTGTACTACATATACAGATACTAAATTATAAGATAAATATATTCCCACTAAAATTTATTTCTGGTGTAATAACAAGTACAGCAAATTTATTCGCAATCATTATTAAATGCTGTCTGACAGAAAATAGATTCTAAAAACACATTTGGTGACTGAATACAAAATGTTCAAACAAAGTTTTTTATTTAAATGTATTCTGTAATCGTATAAACTATGGAAGAGTCGATCCTGTAATATCCAGGATTATACAATTTTTAAATTGCATACATTTTAGAATGTTGACAATAATTTTTGCACCAGAAATGCGAGGCCTCATTTAATACTTATATTGAGCAATTTCATTAACCATTAAAATACAATGTTAGCAACACTTCCGCAAAAATGCAATACCCGGTGCTCAATATTGTTCGTTCTCGCACTTTGCGCGAGTTACTAATCGAGGTTTTCTCTCACACGTCAATGGAGACTGTCAGTGTCACGAGTCTTCCTATTGGCTAGTGATGATTAGCGATAACTGATTTGTTGCCTTTGTGGCAGTCCTTGGTCGATTAGATTTGGAGCAACTATCGACACTTTAAAATTTGATATATTAGAAAGTTCCTATTTCTTGTAAAATCAAAAGATCGAATATTATTCGCAACATATTACTTGAACGGCTTTTACGATTTGGCCAATCAAATACATTCTATTACCTCAGAATATTGTGTTGGCCCACGCTTGCGCAGTAAACATTTACTCGCATAATAACAAAACCTGTGAAATTATCTGAAATTGCTGTTTTTCGCCAGATTTTCCTTTCATATCTACCGGCTCGGTAAAGTTATATTTTACATAGTCTGATTAGAACAACCTGGTACTATATCTGTCCGCGGTCGTCTCTGAGGGACAACTTTTGTCAGCGACGAAAACAAACTAAAGTTCGTCCTGTT